CTTTATTTTTTCCAAAATAAAAAAGTTGTTTCTGTTATAAAAATGTAAATTAGTCATTGCAGGAAATTCAAACTATCAGAAAAGTAGCAAGAAAATAATACATCCTACCTGGAATTTCACCACCAGAAGATCATCATTGTTCCCATTTTGGCATGTGTCCATTCAGCACCTCCACACACTCTAACAATGGCTAGATAAAATTCGATTTGATGGAACTCATTTAAATGCACTGATGCATTTGACCCCGTTTATAAAAAAAATTGCTGTTCTTTAACCCACTTTTCTGATTAGTGTTTTATTTTCTGTGCCAATGAATATATCTTTTAAACAGTTGCATAATGTTCTCTTTATGGCTATACCATAATTGAGTTATGTCTCCTATTAACCCATCACCTAGATTTTTCCCGTCTTTTTTCTCATTAATGTCGCAAAGAATAGATTTTTGCAGACATTTTGTTTTACTTTCGTGTCATTGGATTTAAGCTTTGGAAATGTATTATTTAGGTTTAATTCATCTATCCAGAACATGTTTTTGTATATAACAGGGGGTCTCTCTCCTTTCTCATATGGTCAGTCAATAATTCTAATACTGTTTATCAGAAAATGCTTGTTTGCCTCACCTATTTACAATTGCTGTTATCAAATATTTATTTCCCATACAAATGGTTCTCTTCTATTCCTGTGCCAATGTTGTGCTGTCACCATTACCATAATCAGTTCCCAGGTGTGGGTTTTAGACTTAAAACTAGAACCTCCAATTTCTGTAGCCATCAGTAAAGGTTAGTCCTCAGCTGTTCTACACATAGTGTGCCTCAGTAAAATTGTTCTGCAGGATCAGAGTCCTCTGTCAGCCAGCCCTGCATTGCAGTGTTGTAAGTGCTCTATAAATATTTTGTTTCAAGACCTGGCACTTGATACAGTTAGCTCAAGAAGAAGAGAGCTAATTATAAAGCTGTGACAAAGATTTCAACAGCATAATGGTAGCAGGTCTTTCATTGGTCTGGTTTCAGTTATGAGGGGACATAATAAAAAATCACCTGTTTTCCAGCTTGAATTGTCAGCTAATTGAGAAGATAAAAGATAAAGACAGACGACAGACAAAACTGTGCCTTTATTTATGACAGAGCTGTTATTGGAACAGGTGGCTTATATCTCCAGGCAGGTCGGCTTGTGAATAGTGCACCTGAAAACTAGGTCGTCATACTTACATCTCAGTAGCTGTGTTGGGCCCTCGTAGGCCACTGCCATGGGCACTCATCACCCTTACAGAGGCAAAGAACCAAAGAGGATACTTTCCACTTGCTTTCCGTGGGAAGGCTAAACTCTAAGAGGAAGGGAGGTAGGTTTGGCAACCCCAGTTTTTTCTTTCAAGTCTGCCCCACTATGGAGGGAAAAGTGAGGAGAGGTAAGGCATATTAACATTAATGATTACCCTCCAAGTGGAAGGAAATAGCCAAGAGGGGAGTTCAAGTTCCCCCTCAGCCTTTGTAGGAGGTCCTACCCCACTTTAGTCAGCTGGGCTGATGGAGCATTGGTCACATGGTGTAAGTCAGGATGTGGCAGTGGCAGGCCAAGGTTGCAGATAACTCCATTGTTTGATTTTATTTCTTGGACTTTCCTCATCCTTCTAGGCTCATCCCCTTCCTTAAATGAGTCCTATTCTTTCCCACTTCCTGGCCCTCACACATGCCCACCATCACCACCATCTTTTTTCTGGCTTACTCACATCCCTCCTTTTGGCCTCACTTCCCCTGAGAAGCTTTCCCTTGGCACGCCTGCCTGTCCTCACAGCCCCCTTGCTAACCAAGCAGGATGCTTAGTCCCTCTTTTACTTTCTGCTTACTATTTGTTTTTTCCATGAAAATACAAGCTGCATGAAGAAAATTACTGTATCTGTCTTCTCCACTTTTTTGTTTTTGTCCCCAGCGTGGTACTTAGGACACTGTATGACTTTGGTGAATATCTGTTCAGTGAATTCATGAAGCGATATTGCTGGTGAACTTCCTAACTTACTCTTCTAAAATTATTGACATGGGTTTTATACCTTTGAATTGATAATTTTATTATTTCTCACAAACACAAATATATAGGAAAAATGATTTGTAGAAAAACATTCCCATTTATGACTTATAAAATAAGTTTGAATTTTCATTTTAAAAAGACTAGTCAGATCTACTTTTTATACTTTAGGGTAAAGCAAAAACATAGACTGCAAAAACAATCTGGCCTCAACACATTTGATGAGTTCTCGTACGAAGAAGGAAATAAGCATGTTTGTGTGAAATGGCACTATTGATGTATATGTTGAGAACTTTATAAATGTTTTCTCTTTTATTATCTCTTGAACATAATTTTTGGATCTTCTTTAAATATTCTAAGGTTTTCACTTTTTTATGATTTTGGAGAATTGTGATTTAGGGGGTTAGTAAAAATTGTTAGTTTAGGAAAGTAAAAAGCACAGTTAATTCTTTTTAAATACTTATTTAATCTGCTGTATTTGGTTGAACATATTTGAGTGAAAATTAAGTCTGGCTGCATAACTATAGATGTTGGGGTTTTAATCACGGATTGAATTTTCTGGTTCACTCATTTAATAATGGTTCCCAACATTTCGAAGTGAAATTTCCAGGATTTAAAAAGGACAAACATGTGCCTGTAATCACCAGCAATGTGGGAAGCTGAGCCAGGAGGATCAGGTCTATCCTGGGCAACGTAGTGACTTAGCAAGACCCTGTCTCAAAAAAAAAAAAAAAAAAGGTCTGGGGATATAACTCAGTGTGAAGAGTCTGGGTTCAGTACCTAGAAATGAGAGAAAAAAGAGATAAATTAAGCTTTGAAGAGAACATTGGGATAGCTGAAGTACAGAAAATTCATCCAATATTGTAAATGTTAGAAGCTGTCACCCTTAAGCCTGAGGTGAAGAGCCACACATGGTTTGCAGATAAACAGCATTTTGCACATGCCTTTCAGAAGTGTTTCAGCTGATTGGTAATTCTAGGAGTTACAGATGAATTTTGCAATTGTGTACGAGTTGAGCAAAACAAGTTGTTAGATCTAAATAGATCAGATCAAGGGAGGCTTGTATCCTGACGCACAACGTTTTAAGCCTTAAGTGCTAAATTATGTATTTCAAGTAGCAATGTTACCATGACCCCGAGGTAATTAAAAATTCTAAGTACAGGGCCAGGGATTTAGTTCAGTGGCACCACGTCTGCCTCACAAACTCAAGGTCCTGAGTTCGATCCCCGGTATCAAAAAAAAAAAAAAAAGAAAAGAAAAAAGAAAAGAAAAAACAGTTCTAAGTACAATATTTGGCTTCCCTTTAGTCTGTGTTTTCTAAGATAATCACAGTAGTTTAACATAGAGAATTTTAAGACTTGCTTGATTTTTCTTTCTAGTAAAATAATAAAGTAAACCCCGATTTTCTTTTGCATTTTAGTTTTCTCCTCATACAAAATGCCTACCACGGCTGAGTGCTAATTTTTAAATTCATTTATCTAGATTGCAGTGTCAAATAGGACTTTCTGTGGAGACGGAAATGTTCTGTAATCTGCACTCTCTATTATGGTACCCATTAGCCACACGGGGCTATTGAGCATTCAAAATGTGGCTGGTGCAACTGAGGAGCAGAATTAAATATTAGTTAATTTTAACTACTTTAAATGTAAGCAGCTGCACCCAACTAGTGGCTACTGAGCTGGACAGCACAAAATTTCTTTCCACTTTCAGATTTGGTATGGACATAAATTTGGAAAAATTGAGTTTAATCTATATGAATTCATTTTCTTCATTTCATATTAGCACATTTGCAGTACGTTTACATTCCTTGTGTAGCACTGATACATGTACACAGCACATCTTCATTCCTTCTTTCATCCCCTTTCCCTCCCCTCCCTATGAATTCATATGACATTTCATAAACATTCATTAAGCACCCGGTGAGTTAGAAATGCTTTGTTTGGATTTCCTGAATCGGCTTGTAGGGGAAGGTAGGGACTCATTAGATATGTCATTCCACCCACCTAGGTGAACAAGGTTTGGAGTCAGGAGCTGACTTCAGGGCCCACTATGGGGTGGGGGTAGTGTCTCCCGGGCTGAGGGGATAAATGAGGACTCCTCTGCCTATGAGTTCTGGCGTGCCAGCCCTGCATCTTCTGAGAGCAAGGGACACCTATCTGAAAGGTCCTCAAAGACACTGCATAAACTAGTAGTGTGTCCCTGCCACTGAGGTTCATTGCCTCTCCTTGCTCTACTGTTTTAGTTACTCCTGACATTTCCCTCAACACATTTTCAGTGGAAAAATCAATGGATTCCTCACAGCTACCCAATACTTTTATCTGTTCACCCACTGACAGACATTTATGGTTTTTTTCTTGCATATTTCAGCTCCTGTGAATAGTGCCGCATTAAACATGGGATTGCAGATATCTCTTTAAGATTTTTGTTTACTTTGATTGTATATCCAGAAGTGAGATTGCTGGATCATGTTGCAGCTTTCCTTTTTAAATTTTTGAGAAATAGCTGAACTTTTTCCACAATAGCTATACCTATTTACATTCCCACAAACAATAAATAAGAGTTCCTTTTTGTTCACATCCTCATCGACCCTTGTTATATTTTGACTCTTTTTTTGGTACTGGGGATCGAACTGAGGACCTTGCACTTGTAAGGCAGGTGCGGTGCTTGACTTTTTGATAGTAGCCATCCTAACAGGTGTGAACTGATACCACATTGTGGTTCTGATTTGCATTTCTCTTTCTAACCATTTTTTCTCTATGTGTTGGACATCGGTATGTCTTCTTTGGATAATGTCATTCAAACCCTTGGCCTATTTTTCTAATGGAAAAACAACTTGAAATAGAGAAAATATTTTGCATACCATGATAAGGGATTAATATCCAAAACATATAAGGAACTTATACAGTCAATAGCAAATAACCTAAATAATATGATTTAAAATGCACAAAGGGCCTACTTTTTCTTTTTCTTTTTTTTTTAAGGTATCATACCTTCTGGAAGGGGGCAGCATGGCTCACGAGGACTTCTGTGGACACCGTGGTAAAATGAACCCAGGAGATCTGCAGGTATGGCCAAGGACAAGGAATTGGTGCTGGTTTAGTAGTCTTTAATGTTGCTTGATCCTGCCCATTTCCAGCACAGCCACCCTTTCTCTCTCTATTATATCTCTGAAATCTGCCTTCCTATGCGTCCTTCCACTCTGCCTGGAAGCCTGCGCAGGCTTCCGGTATTCCTCTCTCATGCTTTCCTTGATTCCTCAATCACTTTCTAGCTTCCACCTAACCTTCTTCTTAACATTTCTCAGGAGTAATCAAGGGTGACTGTCTCCAGTTCCTTTTCTCCCATTTTCTTCCTCCACTCAGTGAAAGTAGAGTTGGTCTCTCAGAACCTCTCTTCTATAACTTTGAAGCTGTTCAGGTAATAGTCACTTGTGATTTCCTAAGTCCCAAATTTAGTTCCTGCTTCAGTCCACATCTTTCTAGACCTTGCTGCTACAATTGAGACAGTTTGCTGTTTATCTTGCAACTCATTTGCAGGGTTACATGTTGTCACTTAAGACAGTGACCCAAATTCCTGCACCATCCTGTCTTGTCTGAGATGTGTTATAATTAATTATAGTTAAAATCCCCAGGAAATGCCTGGACCATCTTTGTCAGTTTTGTAAGCCTGAACTCTGTATCGTGTATTTTCTGGAATCATTTATATATTTTATGGGATGATAAATGCAAATATTTGAATCATGGCACTTCAGTGATCATGAAATTTAAAGATAGAAAAGTAAAAGGACAGTCATGGTGAAAAGCCAACAGTAACTTCTCGCTAGAGCAGAACATAAAGTGAAGTCTCGCTGGAAAGGTAGCTGTGATGAATTCATGTATCTTGATCACAGAAGCACGGCTTTTGCATATGCACCTTCAGGCTGAGCCTGGAGCTATACATTTGAGGTGCTGGCCAACATTCCTTCCATCACTATACCCGCATATTTGGTTAGATCATGATTGCATAGTTTCAGTTTATTCAGCATTTTCATATACATGATTTCTTTGAGATAATTATTATTTTTATCTCAGTTTTTAAATGAAGGAATAGGGATTTAAAGACATTAAAAAAATAAAAAGATGCCCATGGCCTCAGAGGATGTGAATTTTAAGGATGGAAAGAATGGAAAGAGAACCCTGTTCTCCCCACTCCCCCACCAATCCAGTGGGTTGGCCATTTTTTAAAAGGCATTGCCAAAATAAGATATATATATGTGTGTGTGTGTGTGTGTGTGTGTGTGTGTGTGTGTGTGTCTTAACTAACATACTGAAAACATGGAGAGAGAACTGTTGATGGAACAGGAAAGTGCATAAAAATGGGAGAATGTCTTTGAGGAATGCCAATAGCTATAGTCAAAAAAAAAAAATTTAGATCTCTACATTAGAAGGCTTAGTCAGCCTTACCAAATGGAAGATACAGAAAAATCTATTTAGGTTTAATGAAAGAAGAAACATCTAAAAGATGTACTGGCATTCTTTCATGTCCTTGAACAAATAATGCTCATTCTTGTCTCAGAGTCTTTCACATGCAGTTGCTTCCTTTATATGGAAAACCTCTTGCTCTTCCACTAGTTAGGTCTTACTCTGTCTAGATCTCAGCCTGAAGTTTGTACGCCCCACCCCAGGTAGGCTGCTTTAAACTGGGCAGGCCATTTCATGTGCTCTTGTAGAGCCCTGTCATTCTTCACAATGCCAAGCACAACTGTAATGTCAATTATTTTGTGCCACTGATTCTTTAAGGATTTTTCTCCCCACAAGTGCAAGGTGGAAGATGATATTGATAACCTGCCTCATAGCTCATTGCCCAACCTCTGAGTTCAGGTGGTGACAGTTCCTGTGTGTGTAACACGGCACCCCATCTCCAGTGCTTCTGGTCTCCCTAAGGAATTTCTCCAGCCCATGTACTGGGTAACCCAGATTTGCCAGGGGGTTAGCATCCCTGTGGGGACTCCTGGTCATCAAGGGATGGGAATTGGTGTCTAAATGCACTAGCTTCCCTGACCCTCCATGCAGTATTTCTACCGTGTATCTACGTGGCTCTCAGTGGAATTGAGCACCAGGTGTCCACAGATGTGACCTGTTGCTTAGCATCCCCTTTAGCTTTTTCCTTTGCCTGCTTCATTCTTCCATACTTCCTCACTTATGCTTCTGCATCACTTTCCAAATGAAATACCTGCAGATATGTCCTGTCTCAAGATCTTCTATGGCCGAACACAAGCTAAGACAAGCCAGAAATGTACCTATTGTATTCCACCCCTTTGTCCCTGGATTCTGAGGAGCTGGCTGGCCCCTAATGTCTCTCTCTCTCGCTCGCTCTTTTTTTTTTTTTGGTACCAGGGATTGAACTTGGGTCCTTGTGCTTGCAAGGCAGGCAGTGGAACCACGGAGCTAAATCCTCGGCCCTGAATGTCTCTTAATAAAGAAATAAACATTTGAAGAATCTGCTCAGCTGTGGAGGCAATAGCTATTTATCCAGGGAGTGAGGGCTCCACTCCTGGAACTGAGCTTCCAGAGGCACAAGTTAACCATCTAGAGTGTGGTGGATACTGAGGGCTTTTACATGTATATTTAGACCCACACATGTATCCTCCAGGTGTTGGGAATACTGGCTGTTGATGGTTCACTGCTGCAACCCTTCCTGAGAACTTCCCACTTGGGCAAGAAGTTGCTTTTTTTAAGGTAGTGCCTCCTACTCAAGGATGACCCACAGTCAGTGGTTTGCTGATGTGAGGATAGAAAAGCTTGGCCACCTTGCCTCAACTTGAGATGATCTTAAAGGATCATCCCGATTCCAGAGCTCCCTGTTGGATTGGCTTAGGCCTGTGTTATAACTGCATTGCTAGTTGGTTTCTCCCCTTGCCCAAGTCTGCTTTCTTTACTTCTTAAAATGTATCTCCCCAGAACAAACCCCAATATACTATATGTCTGCAACCTCTCATCTCAGAGCTCAGTATAAGACTCAGGAATATCATAGAGAGGATTCTTTCATTTGCAAGAGTTTCGGTTCTGAGGCATTGATTTCAAATGAAGATACACGGGAAGCATTTGAAAAACTGGAAATCATGCTGGCAATTGTCATTGATGTTTATTATTTCTCACAATGCCCAAACACTCGGACCCAGTCTTTGTAAGATGTCTCACTTAGTGGTGATGTTGTAATCATCTCACTTGCAGACTTATTAGGGCTGGTTACATTTTCCTTCTTGTTGGCTTGGTGTTTGCAGTGGATGACTGCAGGCCGGGGCATTCTGCATGCAGAGATGCCATGCTCAGAGGAGCCAGCCCATGGCCTACAACTGTGGGTTAATTTGAAAAGTTCGGAGAAGATGGTGGAGCCTCGGTACCAGGAATTGAAAAGTGAAGAAATCCCTAAACCTAGTAAGGATGGTGTGACAGTTGCTGTCATTTCTGGAGAAGCTCTGGGAATAAAGGTAAGCTGCACTGTTGTGTGTTTGGGAGACAGGAGGTGTGCAGTGACATAGGCTGGCCCTATCTGTGACAACTCTTACTAGGTTTCTCATAGTTTTTGTCTCAAGGGATGGACTTGCTTCATAGGTATCAGAATAAGTGCAACCTAGGGGAACCCAGAATGTTTTTGCTGCATCGAAACTCAATGAGTTAGGAAGATTACGAGAAAACATGGTAATATAAAGAATTTGGTTGAAAAGCAATTTGCATGGTATTTCTTAATATATGTGCAGATTTACCCTAATTCTTTTCACTTATAGTACAATTTTATGATTTGAGTTATAGCTCCTTGGTTTTGCAAAATTACCACCTTTAAGGAACAAACGAAAATACCAAGACCAACTCCATTCAAAAAGATTTATGTAAATTATTTATGCCCCATTTAGAAAGGAAAGTGCACTACTACATTATAGAAAGGTTATTTTAAAAAATTAACTCGACCATTTATTCCATACATAACATGTATATTCTTCTCAACAGAAACTTATACTATTTAGGTTTAGGCTCTGACATTTTTGATCAAATAAAATCATTTTAGGCTAAAAAGTATGGACATATTTGTGGGAGGAAAGGAACTTGGCAAATATTGTATTATTTACACACCAGAACCGTTTGCTGTGGAAACTACAATTCCTCACACCAGCCAGATTGAAAGACTGGCACGTTGGGTAGTGAACTTTTAGGTGGAATTTCCAAGAAGCACGCCCTGACATGTGGGTTCCTGTGAGAGAGATGTAAATGAAGTGCTCCTGGGGGGACCATAAAAGGACCTGGGATAATGTAGGGGACAAAGCCAAGCAAGAGAACTATCTCAGGCAAAGTCACAAAGAGGATGGCTTTAACCTGATCCTGCTGGAGATGATGCAGGATCAATATTCCTCAGAGTTGTCCTGACCCACCTCAGGCAAGCGACCCAGATTTTCATTCTCCCTTACTCAATAGTCATTGATTATGGCCTTTGACTTTGGGATGAGGGCACAGAAATGGTTAAAAGTGACCTGTAGGGATCTATGAGGGGCCTGGACACATGGCACCTGGCAATGAGAGCATCTAGATATTGGGATTTACTTTGTCATTCTCCCAGTGGGCAACCAGCGCTTATGTAAATGTTAATTTTTTTGTACAACCATGAGAAAAATGGTTTGGCAGTGGCCACTAACTAACCACTCAATGAGATTCATTACATGGTTAACAGATTGGTTATGATTATTGGTTGGGACTTACTGTTTTTTCTCTATCCTGCATTGAAACCACGTTCTTTATCTATACTACACATGGGTACGTTTTATTTTCTTTGTGTTTCCAGTGTACACAGAAATAATTGAAGAAAAATATAGAGAGAAGTTTGCTCTATAGTGGGCATATCTGACTACAGTCTGCCCCTCCCCTGCAGGTATTGCTTACTTTGCAGTTGGAAGTGACCCTTCTTTGTGTTTCTGTGACCTCTTTCTGTTTCTCCAAGCATTGAGCAGTGCCCTTTTCAGCTGTTTGTGAAGGTTTCCTCCCCTTCAGTCTGCAGAAACAGATAAGATCTTGTGAGGTCTTCTGGTTTGAGGCCAAAGGACATCATCGGGTATAGTATCAGACAGAGAGGTCTAAGGAAGCTGAATTAATGCAGATGGGAAGCCCTTCACTGTCTCACCTGGTGTTGCCAGGCCACTAGAGCTCTAGGGACATGTCTTCGGCACCTATTGAGGTAAGTGGTGGAAGGCAGAAGTTTCTCCCTTCCAGTTCAACCAAAGCACACAACTTTGGTTGTGTATATTGGAATTGTATGTAAGATTTCATTTAGAAAATGAGTCAATCTGTGTGTAACTAATAATAGAAATCATGCCAGTGATTTAGTAGATAAGTAAAACCAGGGATATCATGAATCCTTAGTTTACAACTGCTTTTCATTTGTAGAAAACGCAAGTCAATTATTTTAAGGTTGAAGCTGGCTCCAGTTATAGGCAGAAGGACATTTTAAAGCTCTTCCAAGCAGTAGGCCATGTGGTGTTGCGATTGCAACCAAGGACTAGGGACCAGAGGTAATGTTTTAACTTTGTAAAATAGTGTCTTGGTAGCTGCTGGCCTCTACTCTTTCTTTTCGTTGAGTAAAATCTCTAAAGTGAGTTGTAGTCTTCTAAGTAAATAGTCAGTCTTTATTTTGAGAACATTTTAATGATAAGAGCCTCTGGGAAACTGGATTGTTAATAGTCATTTGCAGTATGCAGCATCAATGCTTTCCCTCTTTCACCCATTTGTTTATTGGGAAATATGCATAACATAAAATTTGCCGTCTTAAAAAAGAGTCTCTTGGAAACTTCTGCAGCATTAATCTGGACTTCCAGAAGCAGTGTGGGTCAGTGGTTACTTGTGTGGACTTTGGTGACAGACTGGGTTAAAGTCCTTACCGTGAATTAGCTGTGTGATGTTGAATAAACTGTTTATATTCTCTGTACCTCAGCTTCCTCATCCATAAAATAAGGCTTCTGTGAGGATTAGGAGCCTTATTCATTCACCTCTCCGAATAGCACCAGACACATGGTAAACATCATATAAGTGGTAGTTGTCCTTATTTTTACTTTAATTATTTTTGTATTAACTCGAGCAGTTGCTGGGCTGAGAATGTTTGCCATCTGTGCTAAAAGGATTTGGTGAACTTTGAGAAATCAATTAACGTGCTCTGAAGAAAGGACACTAGTGTAGTCATTGGAAAGATGAGGATTGTGGCCATTTCTTGTAAATCCGATAAGAGACATAGTTTTGTAAATCTGCAACCTTAGTATCTGCTCAGCAAGAAATGACTGGGTCTTACAAGGTCTAGATCTACCAGAAAAACACATAAAGATTGTTTTACATCAGCAAGGTATCTTTTTGTTTTCTTTGAGATGGGTCTTTATGTAGCCCAGTCTGGCCTCATGATTCTCCTTCCTCACCTTCCCAAGTGCTGGGGTTACAGTCATGTGCCACCACGCCTGATCCATCAGAAAGATCATTTTAAGTTAAATTGTAAAATGAGGCTGAGACTGTACTTTCCAAGAGACTGAGGTATTTATAGCCAGTATAGAATCAACAACTCCCCTGCCTGCAAGTAAAATATCTTGAAAATGGAATTAGTGAGCATTGCAGCACTTCTCAGACTTTAATATTCATATAGGTTGCCTGGGGCTTTTGACAACATGCAGATTCTGGTACAGCAGGCCTGTGGCCAGCTCAAAGATTCTGCATTTCTTACAGGCTCCTGGGTGGTGCCAATGCTGTGGGCTGGAACCTCAATTTGAGACAGAGGAGTTTACCCAGAGCAGTTTGATTAGGCTCCTATGGAAAATGTTAAACTGTCCAGTTCTGCAACTTTGGCAAGTCTCTTTAATCTTTCTGGACTCCAGTTTCTACATCCACAGAAAAGGTGGAGAGCTTTTGGGAAAGATGCTGTAGCTTTTACAAACAACAAAACTGTCTTTTTGGTATTTCCAAAGACAGATGCATCCATGTTTCCCAGGTTGTGTGTGTCTACGCATTTCTTTAGCCCTTGGAAAGCCACAGCCAATTTTGAGCAAGATTCTGCCAGGACAGTGCAGTCTAAAGTGAAGGCTTTGAGGGGGAGAAATGATAAAAGTGGGATAGTTTGAATAGTTTCTGTCACTTCGGAAGGTCACTATCTCATGCTTATTTCATAAGAGTGTGCAATTCTCCAAACCCCATTCCGTCCTTATCAGTGAGCCAATCAGCTTTATTTATTGCCAGATCTCTTTGGAACACAATGTTTTTCCCAAAGAATGCCTCTACTGGCCTCCTGCTGCTTTAAATTCCATTGTGTCAGGAGCAAACCTTGAAGAGGCCTCAGCCCCACTGGGATCAGAGCATGGCAATCTGGAGCCAGATGGCCTGGGTTTGAGGCCAGCTTCACCAATGGCTCACTTTGGGAGATGCACTTAAGCTTGCTGGACCTTGGTTTTCTAATCTGTGAAATGGAGAGGATTAAATTGATTGATACATATATGTAAATTAGAACAATGCTTGGCTCAGAGTAAGCCCCAAACAACCGGATGCTATATTTACTTCATTTCCGAAGCTTTGGGCAGTGTTCATGTAGCCTATAGACATAAAAGGAAGAAACTTTCTTCTGATAGGCAGACTGTCTGCTCATGTATCGGATGACAATTTTTTGTTTTTGTTTTTGTTTTTTGGTACCAGGGATCGAACTCGGGTCCTTGTGCTTGCAAGGCAAGCAACAGAACCACTGAGCTAAATCCCTGGCCCTCGGATGACAAATTTTTAAAACCTCAGTTTCCAAGGGAGTTTGCTAAACATCTCGTAATTTGCGCAGGTTATTTTTGTGTTCCTATGTAGTTTTCTACTCAAGGTGAAACTTGATGTCTTAGATTCTAGCTGGCACAGCTGAAGTGGAGCTCTTCCCCACCTTGCCTCCCTAAGCCTGCTTCTGTTCCCTCAGGGGTGAACAGAGCTGCCCTTCCACAGGAGACTGCTCTTTCCTTCCCAGACTTGCAGGAACAATTTTGCAAAGGAGCGTTTAAACAATGAGTACATCTTAAAAACAGGTAGTATATGCTCACCTTTTTTTTGGGGGGGGGGGTACCGGGGATCGAACTCCGGGCCTTGTGCTTGCAAGGCACAAGGAACCGCTGAGCTAAATCCCTGGCCCTTTTTTTTGCCTTTCAAGTATTCCAACAAGTTCATGGGGTTAGTTTGAAGAATGTGACAGATATTCTCCTAATGGCAGAGGTTGAGTGGGACCTTGGGTTTCTGACAAAGGGAACTTGAGAGAATGGGCTCCAGCTGTCCCAGAGAGCAAGCAAAGGGAAAACAGTACTTGTTCAGGAAGGAATCCTCCTTTCCAAAGCACTTTCGGTTAATTTATTGTATCTATGAATCAGAATACTCTGTGATAGATCAGGAAACCCCCGGATATAGATCTGTGCTGTGGATACTTACCAAACACTTACTTTGGGTGTGGCTG